TTAAAGGTTTGACCAAGATGGGAATTTGAGACGATCCTAACTGTTTAAAGGTTTGATCGTTCAATTTGTGGACCTCTCGTTCATGGAACGAATCGAGAGGGGATTTTGGCTTTGGTCCTAACTGTTTAAAGGTTTGACCAAGATGGGAATTTGAGACGATCCTAACTGTTTAAAGGTTTGATCGTTCAATTTGTGGACCTCTCGTTCATGGAACGAATCGAGAGGGGATTTTGGCTTTGGTCCTAACTGTTTAAAGGTTTGACCAAGATGGGAATTTGAGACGATCCTAACTGTTTAAAGGTTTGATCGTTCAATTTGTGGACCTCTCGTTCATGGAACGAATCGAGAGGGGATTTTGGCTTTGGTCCTAACTGTTTAAAGGTTTGACCAAGATGGGAATTTGAGACGATCCTAACTGTTTAAAGGTTTGATCGTTCAATTTGTGGACCTCTCGTTCATGGAACGAATCGAGAGGGGATTTTGGCTTTGGTCCTAACTGTTTAAAGGTTTGACCAAGATGGGAATTTGAGACGATCCTAACTGTTTAAAGGTTTGATCGTTCAATTTGTGGACCTCTCGTTCATGGAACGAATCGAGAGGGGATTTTGGCTTTGGTCCTAACTGTTTAAAGGTTTGACCAAGATGGGAATTTGAGACGATCCTAACTGTTTAAAGGTTTGATCGTTCAATTTGTGGACCTCTCGTTCATGGAACGAATCGAGAGGGGATTTTGGCTTTGGTCCTAACTGTTTAAAGGTTTGACCAAGATGGGAATTTGAGACGATCCTAACTGTTTAAAGGTTTGATCGTTCAATTTGTGGACCTCTCGTTCATGGAACGAATCGAGAGGGGATTTTGGCTTTGGTCCTAACTGTTTAAAGGTTTGACCAAAATGGGAATTTTGTGAGGGAAGATTGATCTAAAGAGGTGATCGAATCTCATCTCAGCAAAAGAGTATTCGGAAGTCATAGTAGGAGTTTAGTGTTTATCACTTTGTTCATAATGATCGGGGTTATCCCTAAGAATATTACATTTAACATTCTTCCGGGAACTTCCCGTTACATGAATTATCCACCCCCAGCTTTCTTTGCAAAACTGGGTGTAACGAGGAGTACGTTATCCTCAGTCGCATGTTCGGGTTATCCTTAAGAATATAAGATTCTCCAGGAACTTCCCGTTATATGATTTATCCACCCCCAGCTTCCTTTGCGAAACCGGGTTTAACATTGTACTCAGTTGGATAATCGAGAAGCAGTTTATACTCATATACTCTTTGGAGTGTGGGGAAACAGTTTATACTCGTGCACCCACTGGAGTTGTATGGTCGTCTTTACTCGACTTCTTTCGTCGTTATGACGCCGGAGTCAATTAGGGCTTGGATCTTGTTTTTGAGTCCAAAGCAAATCTCAGTGGGATGAAGAACCCTTCTGTGGTACGCACAGTAATTTGGATCTGTAATCATTATAGCTTCCTCCTGATCTTTAATAGGTGGTAGCTCGATTTTGTCATTAGCGAGGAGGTATTCCAAGATGGCTGGAGCTTCATCATCTTCGAAAGAATATTCCTTTTGAAACTTCGGATCGAGAGTCGCATACTCAATGATTGCAGATGTCATTGGTTGGCCTCTCTCAGCTTTCTTTCTTTTAAGAAAGTGCTCAGCTTGTTCACCCCGAGATTTTAACTCCTTCCAAGTTGTGGATGGCACGACCCCCAGAGCTTCCAAGACATCGATGGAGAGGTTATTGTGGCATGTTTGCAGGATGAACTCCTCCGTGATAGGATCTCTGCAATTCATTGCCATGTTACGGAAGCGCTTGACAAAATTGTCAACTGACTCTCCGTCTTTTTGCTTCTCATCCAAAAGGGTTCCGATTGACACTTCGGTGTCATCATCGAAGAAATTGCTGAGGAACAAACTTTCCATGTCATCCCAGCAATTGATGCTCCCTGGCTTGAGCCGTCGGTACCAATCGAAGGCGGGCCCACGAAGGGTGCCAACGAATGACCGGACCATTAAAGCCTCGTTTCCAGAGATCATGCCCAAATGAGACTTGAAATAAATCAAGTGCTGAATCGGCAAACTCTTCCCCTCAAACGGTGTAAAGTTAATCAGATTGAATTTGGTCGGGTATGGTATTGAATCCCATTCCCTCGGATAAGGACATGGAATACCCGTCTTCTTAACTTCTTGAGCCGTCATCAAAGAATTGATTTTGTCTTCAAGCTTTTGCATTTTCTCGTTATCGTCTCTTTCTTCAGTTGAGGAGAATGAGTTAGGCCACCCCTTTTGAGAGGTGCTATTGAACCACCCCCAATATCGTTATTGGGAGGATCCGTTAAACCACCCCCAGCGTTATTGCCATTGGGAGGTGTATCAGCCATAATGACTTCATCCACTTCTGGATCACTATCATCTACAACATTCTGAGTGTGGTGGCTGGATTCAGCTCGCTGAGGACTCAGGAGGTTGAGGCTGTTGAGTTAACAGTTCTCTCATTTGTTGGATAGCCAACTTCATCTCTGTCTTCACTTCTGCTCTAATTTCTTCACGTTGTTTGGCTAGAGCTTCCTGAAGTATTTGAGTGAACTGATCAGCAGTGATTGTGAATACTTCTCTGATTTGTCCTGTGCTAGATATTGTATCATCCGAAGCGATTGCAGAACAAGTGTCCGAGAGTTCATCCTCTGATGACATCTCTTCATGCATTCTCCTGATAGCTCCTGGCCGGAGTCGAGACTTCCGTCGGGCAATTCTTGGATTGACTTTTCCTCTCGAGGAAATTCTGGGGAAAAGTCGGGATTTGAGTCGCTTGAATGCTGCTTAGACTTTCTTTTATCAGCCACGTTGATGGTGACTTCAGGGAATTCATCATCTTGGGCAGCTGATTTTCTTTTGGGGAAATGTCTCGGCTTAGGCTTCGATAATACAGAGATTTTTCGTGGGATGACTTCTCGTTTGAAACAGTCATATTCTGATAATGCTGTTTTAACGATTCGCGCACAGGAACAACGAGAGTTTATCTCTCGAATAACTCTTTTTCGAAAATTATTCACAACCCCAACTTGATAATACGATTCATCGGTATGATTGCCAAAAAATCGTATCGTCTGTTGGCATGATCTCCCAGGTATGACGATATCATTTGGTGAATGCGTCTTCTTCTGGGGGTATAAAACCTTGTTGGCATTCTCAGGACAATTTATTTTTGTCTTTGAGCGATCCAAGGTTATGTTGGGAGTCGCACGTCTAAAACCACCCATTTGCGGGTATGGGGTCTTAACGGGCTCCGAATGCTGATTTTGCATAAGTCCAGACTTTGGAATCCAAACTTGACGAAGTTTTGGTGATTCTTTGGTCACCATTTCCTTTCTCTTTTCTCGTCTTTGTTGTGAGAGAGCATGGGCATTAGCAGCTTTTGCACGACGTTTTTGTATACGTTCTTTGAGGGTCGAACGAGTCTTTTTGACAATAGTCCATTCATCCGTCGTTGTTTTAGCAGAGATACGAGTGATTGGTTGTTGAGACAACTGAACCACTCGATGTCTCCTCGACTCTAGGTCCGCGTGGTAACGAACCCCGTCGGTTTGTTCCAAGGCTTTAGCCATTTGGCGAGCACGGCGTTGACGTTGTCTCCGACGAGCTCTTTTCGTTAATGCCGGCGGGCTTTGATTCGATGACTCTTTAACTAGATAAGAGCCATTGTGAGCAGAAGTATTGCGAGTGAAATTCTCAGCAACAATCAAGCGAGAGTCTTCATTTTGTGCCTTCTTTGGCATGCAACTCTTCCTCAATTGTGAGATCCTCTTGTACTTGCGAGATAATGAAGATCTTGAAGAGGATGATGAGAGATATTCCTCAAACTTGGTCTGGTCGAATTCGTATTCGACCATGGATTCAACTGGAATCTTGATCGGCTGCGACACGACGGTCTCGGCAGCGAGACCGTTGGCTCCCACTGTGGTCACCAGCTTGTTTGCGTCAAAAGTTGGTTTCGTTGTGGAATTCATTATATCTTCGGTCGATTACAATAAATTCAAAGAAAACAGCCTTTTTATAAGACTCTTTTACACAACAAAAAGAAAATTACAACTCTTGAGAAAATAAACGCAGGATCGTTGTTTGGATCACTGCTTTCGTGGGATCTTTGCCTGTGCCGGGAGCGCTTTGACTCGTGGACCACCAAATCACAGATTCTGATTGAACCGTGAGGGGTTTATGATTCTGACTTCGTTTATCGAAGTGAGAAATTGAAACGATATCTTATCGATGTAAGATAGTCGTTCTTCTTGAAATCAAGTCAAAGCCTGATTATCAAGGATTGGCCGTAAGATCAGCACCTCTGCTCTCTCTCTGCTCTGGATTGCTCTGGATTGCTCTGAAGTACTCACAATGATCAGCCCCCTGGAAAAATGGCCTTAGGAGGGTATTTATAACCTCCAAGAACAGTTGGCAGAAAACAGGTTCGCGAGACAGCTTTTGCTGTCTCGACGGGCGAGACAGTGTTTGCTGTCTCGGCCCGCGAGACAGTAAATACTGTCTCGGAAACAGTAACCGCAGGCAGTTTTCGTTTTAACTGCCTTCCCACGTTTCAAACTCCGTTATTTTGGCAGTTATCCACGTGATTCTCGCCCACGACGTTTCCCACGTTCTTGAACAGTTAGTGGCCACGTGTAGGGCAGTTGCAAAGGTAGTTTTGACCATCTGAAAACTGTCTCACGTGCAAGACAGTAAATTCTGTCTCGCACGGCGAGACAGCAAAGACTGTCTCGCGTGGGCGAGACAGTAAAAGTCTGTCTCGCCCGCGAGACAGTAAAGACTGTCTCGCACGGCGAGATAGTAAAGACTGTCTCGCGCGGCGAGACAGTCAAGTCTGTCTCGCACGGCGAGACAGTCAAGACTTGTGTTCTTCCGCCCTTTTTGGATGATTCCCTCTTGAGCTGTATTTGGATATTTTTCAGCATTTTTTGACGCCTACAACCAACAAGGGGGAATTTGAGCGTTATAAAACAAGAGAAGCAATTACAGTAGATTATGGAAACACATCGTGGTCGTTGCAAAGTATCAGCAACGAATACCACTGTCAAGCTTTCTTGAAAGCACGCATCACAAGCATTGGGCAAATAACACACACATTGTTCCGCATATAGTTCTCACTTCTCACAATCAGGACAAAGCTGAACATAAAGAGCACAAGCTCACCAATTCCTTAACAATACAACAAGCAAATGGGTCGAGAATATTCGAGAAGAATTATATATGACCGAGCAATGCAAGTTCATGATTCCGGAGCAGGTGATGCTGTGCGTTTGATTGAAGCACACTTGATGAGATGGTTGTAACTCCCCTTCTCCTTGAAAAGCTGAGAGAAATGGTGCTTGCAATAGAGGATGCCTTCAAGGGCTGCATAGTTGGAAGGAGATAATGAGCAGCCACCATGGGAGCACTTAAAACAGGATTTGTGATATGCCTGTCCTTCTACAGTCACCTACAAAAAACAGAGTAGAAGGTTGTGCTCGTTAATTACAACGATCGGTTTATCCTTGCAACTGACTGATCAAATATCAGCGCATTGTGAAACAATAGAAAGGGGTAGAAGCCAGGTAGTTTGGAGGAACTACAACTTTCAGTAAGACCAAGACATTCCTAGTTCCAAACTGCAAGAGTAGGGATTATAGTATAGGCACAGTCTTTTTCAATCATCATTCATTTGGATTTGCATCCAATCCATTGACACACTTATCATACGTAACATAACCAATCCACCTAACTAGCCTACTTGGATTTCAGAAGGCCGGCCCCATGCCACAGGTAAAATATCAATCTTGCAACAGTTGGGTTAGTTTGCCACCTTTCTTAACAAGCATTTTTTTTAAGGAAACAAAACTAGCACAACATGACAAGCAATCTGAGCATAAAAGAAAAATGAAAAAAATGGGTTTAGATAACATGAGGTCCCTAGTGAATGATAGCAAGAAAGCAGGGCAAAACTCTGAAGAATGGCCTCTCAATATTGGCAGAGACTTCTAACAAGTTCAAAAACTTCATCCCCATGGTTTATGAAGAGACATGGTTGATCTGAGCCAGAGTTAGAATTGACTACAATAAGTCAAGATTCAAGAGCATTCTAAAAGTGGTGAAGCAAGTCGAGGGTCAAAGCTATGATGGTTTATCATAGGCTTGGAATTTGAACTAAATCAAACAAGTCTTAAAAGATAAAATAGCATGTCAGAATCATGCAACCATGTTTTCCTATATTCTTATTGGGAAGGGTGCAGTGTCTTCCATGTCAAAATTTAACAATCACAGCACAACTTCCACAAGAGAGGTAGATTTGTCTTCTGTTGGTTTGAAGTGCTTGTGTGTATGTGTGCGTGGGGTGTGTTTGTGAGTGTGTCTGTGTTGTTGTTGTTGTGTGCGTTGTGTGTGTGTGTGTTTTTCTTTCTTTCTTTCTTTTTTTTTTGGTGTTGCCAATGGCATTTAAACTGCAAACTACTTAGCTAAAATTAGGATCAACAGATTGGGATACTACGACTTTTGCAGAGAGGTTGTCAATGGGGGCAACATGTCATATTTAAGGGAAAAAGCTAAAAAGATAGGTGAGCAGTTGCATACTTGTCGGCTAAAAGCTAAATTAAAAAATTAGAATAAAATAAACAACAAATTAAGTGGCAGCTTTCATGATAAGCAATATTTAAATAATTAAATCATGACCAAAGTTAAACCATCAAGTAGAAAACCGGTATCACTGTTTGGAGGAAACAATGAGCCTACCTTCTCAAGAGGATATGCTGTTTTACTGCAAGTGGCACATTTTTCTTGTGTTCCTGAAAACATGCCAGCAGCCTTGCTAGGAGACCTTGTCTGAAGTAAAGATCAAAAGATATAAAGAAAAAAAATGAAAAATACTTAGCAAGTCAAAGTAAGTTGAGAGTAAACTCGTAACTAAAAGAGTGGTTTCCTGTTGAACTCACTAGTTCTGGAGTTAGCTTGTCAGCTGATTTTGCAGCTGTGAAAGAATAAAATATTAGGCAACAAAACAAAAGATCTCATCGACAGCAATATCACTGCCATAACTCTAACAACTAGAAGAAAATTTCTTACGTGACTGAAAGTTCTTGCTGAAATTGCCTGTTTCCTTGAAGAGCTGATCAAAATGTGGCTTGCAATATAGAACACTCTCCATAGAAGAATAATTGCTTAGCTGAAAGAAAAAAAGAATGGACAAGATATCAGATAATGAAATTCTCCTTACACATATTTTCACGACTTAACTTGATGGTCTACACATACTAGGTACTTCTCCACAAGTTGCAGTTATGGATTCAGATATTAGTTTTAGTAAATGGAAAGCTTTTACATGCAAAACACATAGTTTTGTATATCATAATTAGGGTAAACACAAAACATCTTAACCACCCAGCAGCTTAACCCTGTGGAGTTGGGTCCAGACCGTGTTCGTAGTTTATACAAAGGCACAAACTAAATTAAAAATTGTTGCATATTGTTAGAAGAATATAATACATCAGTTACTGACTTGAACACTCCAAGCAATCTTCTGAAATTAAAATCTCTCTCTCAGTCATCTAGACCAATCAATATTATATTTTATGGATAGATGTGTGCAAAATTCCCACATCTCCCCGTAGGAGAAAGGTCTTTTAAAATTTTTGGAAGGTCTGCTTTGGTGTCTGACCTCTACTGCTGTAAGTAGTCAAATTATACCCCAAGTTTCTTTCATAACGATTGAGTTTAAAATAATTTTTATTGATTCAGATAATAAAATACAATTCAAACCTAGGAGATAAAATACATTAGAATACTTAAATTTGTAATTGATAGTCACCCTTCAATCACCCTTGCTCTATGAAGTGAGAAAATGACTAAACACTTTCTCCAAATGAAAATTTCCTAAGAATATAATACAAGGAGAAGATCATATCCATGAGACAGCTAAATACACAATTTATTTTATCCGTATGATTGTAGTTCTGTCTTCGCATTACATAAATGTTATGCAGGTGTACTAAACCCCACATCTTAAGAATGAGGACCCTAGACTAAGATGCACCCGGCTCTAGCATAAGAAAGCACATTCATGTTAACAGCTCGATAACAATGATGTTGAGCATACTTAGGGAGTGTCTGGATATCGATGTACCTCAAACCAATGTCTCAGTGGCAACCAAATAAGCCCACAGCCTGTAAGGCATACATGACTGATCGATGCACTAAATATGTGAAACCAGCTAGATCTGCTGATAGGATAATTCATTCCGTATCTGGAATCCACTCTCTTTCTTCACATAAACTTAAAGTCTTAAAGGTTCTATACAATCTTACCCTCACTTGCAAGGCCTCAGCCAAAGTGAGCCGAAGTGAAACTTGCAACAGTAAATTGATGTTATAAGTGCTAGAGTACTGTTATATGCCCTTAAACATCCAATACATTTTTATTGAATATTAATTAAGTTTTATTGTTGCACATGTTGTTTGAGTATCTTTTATATAATTGTTATGTTATCTTTAGAAATTATTTTGTTAGATCATGCACTGTGATGGTCACTTGCTTGGACATATGATCTAATTCAGAGGTTTCTTAAATTTGTGCTTAACCTATAATTAGTAAATGATAGCTTTGTTATAACAGGTTATTATGCATGACAACGACATGTGAGATGTGATGGTTGATCTCAGCTATCAGAATGAAGATTCCCCGGGTGTATGTCATAAGCGCATATTTGATGTGTAGCACAAGTCCTTATTTGAGTTCTCTAGGACGAGTCACCTAAAAATAAAGAATTCGAATTGTTATGTGGTCCCTTAGACTTGATGATATTATCATTTTTGATTTGATAATTTAGTATACTTTGATATGATGGTTAAGCTTGTTTTACAAGTGCTATACAGCCTGAAATGTTGGGTTACTAGATTTCATTTAGGAAAATAATGGATATTTAGATAAGATCCAGTATAGTCATTTTTATGAGTTAATTTATAATGTGTATCCCCATAAAGATATTAAATTGCCGTCGATGGGTGATTTTTTGAAAATTAGTTTTCTAAATTTATTTTCTTATAAAATAAAATATTTTGATGTTTCAAAATAATTTTTATTTATGTTCATGGGATTGTAATTTTAGGAATGAGCAAATAGGTGATTTGTCCTGCTCAATAAAGTTACCTAAAATAAATTGATACTGGAAGGGACTGAATGTAAGATAATATTATCACGAATATTTAATTCTATATTATGGAAGAGCTTTTATAAATAGTTAGTCGGATAGGGATTTGATTGTTAAATTAAAATTATTAATTTAATTAATAATTTGTTCTCGATATGGGACCTAATTGGTCTCACTAATGTCATTAGAAGACGTTAACATGCAATACAATTTTATTTCTATCCTAATTGTTATGAAAATAATATTCTATCTTTAAATATTATGGATAAAGTTTTAAACAATTAAGAATTGTTTTGAAAATAAAATCTATAAGACATGTCCAATCTTATATATAGGACTCATAGTAGCCTTATGAAGAAGAGAAAAGAAAGAAAAAGAAAAATGAAATAGACTTTGAGAATCTATTGTTGGAATTAATTTAAAAAGATTGAGTTCTTTAATGAATTTTTTATGCAAATATGATTTTTTGAGGAGTACATTTGCATAATGTTCTTTCCTTCTTTATCCTCTTCTGTAATGTTTTCCCTTCTTCTCTTCCTCCGCTCTTACCTTTCTTTCTTCGAGCGTTTAAGGAAAATCCCGATGATTACTCCGCTCTCTCCCTCTTTTCCTCCGAGCGAAGATCTCGTCAACGACAACGGAAAAAACGTAGGCGTCTTCTCCGGCCTCATCAACGACAACAGTAAAATTCACAAGGGCTATTAAAGGGGATCTCAATGGACGATGAAAAAACAAGAAGAAAAGTTGGTAGCTTCTGTTCTCTCTCTCTCTCTCATTTATATTCTCTACAAATTATTTCTAATTTTATTTTGGGGCAAACATCCATTGAGCAAGAGATCAAAGTTCGCAGTATACTTTGGTGCCGGCTTATCTCGGGGGTTCTTACCGTTAGGCGTAGTCGCATTGAATCGTCTCAGCGAAGGCGGCGGCTATTGTTCTAGGGCAGTGATCACACGATTACCCCTCTCAGGCCTGCGTTTTCTAACCCTCTTTTGAATTATTTTGATTATTTGCAGAGATTTTCTAACAATCTAGAACAATAGTAGCATTATAATCATTCTGTTTCAAATAATCAATCTGAATTTTTGTGTTCTGTCATAATTTTGCCTAATTTCTATTTTCCTAATATCCAAGTTAGTATTCACCTTGTTCTGTATTTCTTCTATATACATATTAGCTGATATCTATTACGTTCATGTTATTTTAAAAGATAATCAGAAGTCTCTTAACCCAACTTGGAACAGAGTTGCACGAAGGCCCCTTAAGCATAATTTCTTCATGTCTTTGTCTCTAAACTGATTTGTTACTGGAATTGCCTTTTGCTTTGTTGTGAAACATAAGCAGTTATACATTTGTGCAAATTAAATACGCATTATATTAATTCATAATATTAAGCTTTGAGTTTCTGCATCTTTGCTTGGTCTTTGGAAAACATATTAATTGTTTTTAATAATATCTATTCATTTGATATTGCATTACAAAGAAATTTTGTAGTTCTCTATATTCTCAATATATTCAGTTTGCATATAGCTTCTTTTCATCCATTTTAATAGCATACAATTGTGAATTTCCTTTCTTGAATTTTGCTAGTCATTGTCATATAGTTATAAGTCTATATCTCACAAACAATTCTTTTCTCAGATCCTTGAATTACCAAGACTAGCAATTTTTATTTTAGACTTATGGCTAGTTCTGATCTATCTAAGTCTGCCAAACCTGAGAAGTTCACCGGTTTGAACTATAAACGGTGGGCTAATCAGATGAAATATTGGCTTTCTACTTTAGGACTTATTTCTGCTATTGACTCTGATTTTTCTCTATCAACACCTACGCCCTCTTCATCATCACAAGCTGAACCTACCTCCACACCTACCACATCATCCGGGATTTCCAAATCTCCTGAGGAAATAAACTTTCATTGTTACAACCGAATCCTTAGTGCTCTTTCAGACAAATTGTATGACATTTATTATGAGTATAAGGATGCAAAAGAATTGTGGGTAGCACTAGAGTCTGAATATGGTTTAGATGATGCTGGTATAGAACGTTTCTCCTCCTCCTCCTTTAATAAGTTTGTTATGGTAGATAGTAAACCCATCAATGATCAGCTTCATGAATTTCAAGACTACATCCGATACCTTCAGTCGAAAGGAAATACTTTCTCTGAAGAATATAAGGTATCTAGTCTTATTGATAAACTTCCTCCTTCTTGGTCTGATTTTGCTAAAGATCTCCGTCATCTACAGGGTGACTTGACTCTTGTACAAGCCCTCAAAGGTATTAGGATAGAGGATCAACATAGGCAAAACTCCAAACCAAAAAATGAAATGAAAGCAAAAGTAAACCTAGTGGAAGAAAAGCCTAAGAACTTTAGAAACCCAAATCACAAACCCAAGGGCAAGAATTTCAAGAAAAAGAATCATTCTCATCGTCCTAACCAACATCCCAATCTCTCTAGAAACCACAAACCTTTTAGCCAAAAGTCTGAGACTAAATTTTGCTATGTCTGTGGGAGAACCAATCATCTTTCGACTCAGTGCTACTACCGAAAGAAAGCTCCTATCAAGACTCATGTAGGCGGAAAGGGTGAAGAAGCAAGTCATAGGGTCAACATGGTAGAAAATAACTCAGACTCCTTTAGGTTAGCTTCATCCTCTTATGTTATAAATTGTACCACTTTTTCTGATGACTGGTGGTTGGATTCTGGAGCAAATATTCATATATCTTCTGATCGCTCTTGGTTTTCAACTTATCAGGAATCAAGTGGAGGAAGTGTAATTCTAGCAGATGACTCGACTAGACAAGTAATGAGAAGTGGACGTGTGGACCTAAAGATGACTTCTGGAAAGATTTTGACTCTCCACAATGTTCTACATGTACCATTACTTAGAAGAAATCTGATTAGTGAATCTGTTTTGTTAAAAGTTGGATTCAGAATTGTTAAAGAGTCAAATAAGTTTGTAATTACCAAGAATGATATATTCATTGGTAAATGTTTTGTTTGTGATGGTCTTTTTAA